TGGTAGTAAAAGTAGGCTCAGTAGACTCTCACTCGACCCCTGGGCACATTTAGCTCTGATGCTGTGTTATCAGTGTAAAAAGTGAAATTTAAATGGGGGCTTTTAGTTTTGAGCACCACATTACAGCCCAGTGCAAAGAGGCCGATAATCCATGTGAGCTGATGGGCAGTTTTCTGTGTCAGACTCTGCTGTACATAGAGGCTGCCCAGTAGGTCTGTCGTGATAACAAATGCTGAACTGTGATATATCGCTGTAAATAATAAATAAACGATAATACTGAAACTAATTCATGCCACTGACAAAATAACAAATCATATTACCAAAAAACTTCCCAGTAGTGCTAAAAAAAGTACACATGCCAAATACTGACCCCCCCAAAATACTGTTCTCTGTAACATATATTGAACGATAAGCCCATATAGTAATTATTGTGACAGGCCTACTGCCCAGAGACAAGCTGGACATGGTCTTTTGCAGCCTCTGGTCAAGGACAGACGGACTAATGGCAGGGAGGTCTATTAGCGTCGACTGGCTGAGCACATTGTTCACTTTGGGCACATTCCTGGCTAAACACAGGCATTTCATCCACGAGAAATCATTTGTCACTGCAAGCAAGCATATCACAACTATCATTACAAATCTCCACATAGGCTTGTCATGATAATTTTGAAGCATGATATTGCTGAAAAATTACAGACGATAAACAAAAATACTGAAACTAATTTATGCTACTGACACAATAATCCAAGAGCAGATTTAAACCACAAAAACTATTCTAAATCTACAATAGTATTTTTAAAAAAATCACAAACTGCATTAAATAAACAGCAGAATGAAACTCTAGTACTTACTTTGCATCTGTAATGAGTCATAAAAATAATACAAATCTTTCAAAAAAAAGGAAATATACCCTAAAAATTGTTCCAGCTTTCATATACTGAACAAAAAGTCGATATAGCAATTATCATGGCCTATCACCACATCAACAAAAGACTGGTATTGCTGTGTAGTAGTTAGTTTGATCCAATAATAGAATATGGGAATAGTATGTATCAATGAAGAACATGGTGGTTGGCTGAATGAGCTAAACTTTGCCGCAAGAGCTGAGGTCATCGCAGCAGCCCACAACAACGTCCCTGTGCTGTGTTAGAAGCTGATCTGTATTTTTAAAGCTGATATCAGACCATAAGTATGTAATGGCTCTGATAAAATCACACTAGAACACTGTAAGAGATCTGTGTAAGTGCGGGGGGTGAACTTGTTTTACTCCATTTGTGATATATAGTGCTTTATGACAAGTGGCTATATTTAAAACTGTAATAACAGCAGACACAGGCTTGAGATAATTAACAACATGCAAGACGTACTTAACTTACCTTAATTGACCAATGTTGTTTAACTTCCCCAAAGTATGGCTCTTACCAGCCAGGCAATAACGCATTCCTCATGTTCAGACTCACAATCAAAGGCCATGCTGAAAATACCTCACCTGATTGGCCCTCGTTTGCACACAGTTTTCTTGTAGAACGTCATCTGCTGCAGGCTTTAAGCATGTTGGCTGAGCCTGATCACAGCAGGACACTGTCCCATAAACCCGGCTGTAAAACTGTATTGGGATAAAGCAGGCAGTGGTTGTGCTGTGGTCAGCACAGAGAGGGAGTTCTCACAGATAAGGCTAATCGCTCTGCTTATCGTCACAGCGCTGGTTGAGATTGAAAGGCATATGCTCACACTGGCTCTCATAAGGCCACATGGAAGAAAACGTTTCATTTAGTCACAGACACTTCTTGTGGTCTCTATGATCTTGCTAAATCACAAGGTGGGACAGTGTTGAGAATAGGGCTAGGTATCATTAAGAAGTTACTGATACGATACATGCCTCGTTACAGAGCGCTTTTGATTCAATATAATTTGAAACAATACATTTCAAAGTGATTAGATATGGTTCAGTAAAAATAAAGGCTACATTATGGCTGTGATAATAAAAGTCTTTGTTAAACCACTATCTGTGCAAAGTGAATATTAAATACATTATCCATTTTAATCATCAAATCATCAAAACAGTGAATATCTGTCACAAAATAATATAGTAAAAGATACCAAATATACTCTTTAGCGATATATTAATACGAGGTTCATACTGTAACAAACAATTAAACAATACTATATATTGATATTTCGATATTTTTGCACACCCCCAGTTGAGAACACATCGCAGTATGTCAATCAAACTAGTGAAGTAGTTAGGTGCAACAATTATCATTAAACACCTCACAATGACTAATGAAAAGTGGGCTCTTTCTTTTCACAAGACGAGCACACAGGCAAAAGTGTGGTCTCTTCACTTGTCAAAGCACCACCAAACTATGAGCTGCTCTGTACCATTACTAGCACAATGAGAGGTCCCTGGCCCCACAAGTCCGTGCACAATCAGCCCCGCAGCCTGCCCCACTCCCACCATTGTCCCATGCCCCACAATGGCTACTCCAGAGCCGGGGGTCCCACCATGCAATTCCAGCGCACAAAGAAGCACACCAGTCCTTATCCCATCAGAAAGAGGTGGATGACAGGGGTGGCAGGAGAGAAATTGTAACCCTTGGGAAGAGATGACAGACGCGCACAAAAGCTGCTCGACCAAGAGTGAGTGAGGTGGTGCTGGACAAGTATGACAGAGAAATGTGTCAAATGTGTGTGCTTGGTTGACTGAGGGGCTCTTTTACAATGGCCCACGGGTAAATAGGGATATGATGAAGGAGACACGCAGGGGACGCAAAGCCAAGTTTCAGACACCTGTGGAGTGGATGCGCAGATGGGCTTGTGCGCTTTCAAAACATAATAACACTCAATATGAATACTTCCAAAAAGGTTAGACAATTACATAAACAAGACACAATATCACTCTGTATGTTAAAGATCTTTAGAATACAGAATACAATTATATATACGAGGGGAGGGACAAAATCTCATACCACAAGATCTCGCAAGACTCTGCATATGTGAGAAAATGTATTTACATCGGCCTAGTTTTGGATTTGACAAAAAAGGGTCAGGGTTAAAGTGCTGGTGAGTGACATTTCCTGAGATGTTGTAGTTCCAAAAAGCATCGCTACAATGACAACTAAATAAAATAAAATTTAATTAAAGTGAACTGAACCACATCTTTTCTTTATAATAAATTATGTCAAAATCTCGTCTGGTCTCAATCTATTGTATTGTGGAAATTGTGTCTCTTGCTATATAATAATCAAGTCGAAATGCAAATCTATCAATTTCCCTTTGCCACTAATTACTGCTTATGAGACAAAATATGAGATTTTGAGTTGTAACAATTAATAATTCTAACAACAACAGTAGTTATTCACGTGAAAAACAGCTTAATTCATTATAACATTAATACTTTAAATGACAATTAAAAGCCCTATATTGGTCTGCTGGTAGGTCTATGGGCTGGAGCTTTCCTTATGGGGCATAATCCTACAGCAGTGGCTTCCCGGGAAGAGGATGATTACATTTTTATCCATACATATCAAAGCCTTTAGGTTACAACCTTTCACATCCTGCAAATGTGTTCAATCCGAATTAGTCACCCAACACAGGTTAAGGGTTAAAACTGTTCTGATTGCTGACATAGAAGGAGGTCAGTGGTGCGGCAGATTACACAGTTCAATAATTCAACTATTTAAAGTAGGAAGATCCGTGCGTTGTTGTTAGATAATAGCTGCAATGTTTACCAACTAGTCCATACTGGCCAGTGAATTACAGCTGAGCACCAAAGCTGTAAGGAGCCTTTGTGAATAAATCTGTTGTTGAAGTCGCAAACATTACTTAAAGTGTGAAAAATGTACTTGTTTAGTGTGAGCAGACGTGTTCACACCAAGTAGAGAACAAATGTACAGCAGGAAAAGTTCATGTTCTTTGCTGAAAAGACTGCAAACAACCAGCCCACAACACAAACGGACCTACACCCCATACCTAAGCCACGATTCAGCCTTCTTAAACAGTCTGTCTGCTGCTTTGACACACTTGGAATAAAGAGACTACTTGTGGTGGGCTGTGTGATGTCATGGCCCGCCACTGCTGCTGCTGCTGCTGAGAGGAGAGGGCCAGTGTGTGGAGGAATGTGGAGACTTTAGAGGGGCGAAGGCTGGGTGCAGTGGGCTTCGAGGGGGGACAAGATGGGGGGAAGGGAGGGGACTATCCCAGGAGGGTAAAGGAACCTACACAGTTTGTCAGTCGCACCACATGGGCCAATGCCAAATGCTTACCAGTAACTGCTCCAAGCGTCAAGCCATTATTCTTGGATGTGACGCTCAGCAAGTATGTGTTGTTTTTGCCAGATGAACCTCACGCAGTTTTAACCCCCCGCGTTTGAATTTGGGTGAAGGGTAGAAAAAGTTCTGTATTACGGCAATCATAAAGTGCAAACTGCAAAGCTGGCACAAAGTAGATCCCACTTCCTCCTTTCTGAATAAATATCGCCTGGACTTCTATACAGGGGAGCAAGAAGAAACTTATGCAAGCATTTAAGGAATTAGATAAACACACGCACACACAGACCTCAGCTGACTACTGGAAACCCCCTCCTTTTCTTCTCTCACTACAGTATGCTGACAGGCCAAGGACCAACTAATTTATGCACAGCTTCTAGGTTAATAATATAATGATCCTATATTAGGCTTGTGTCTGTCCAGTAAGTCCCGTGTGTTCTCCATTTAGAAATATGAAAGATGTTACATTGTGAAAATGGGTTGTCAGGGTGACACAGAGAGGATGTCGCTGTAACAATTGTACAGTAGTTAAAACCACTTCCTCCACAGAGCAAAACCTGCACCAGATTTCAGCATATCAGCATAACCACGCGTAATAAGAACTCCAACAGGTATGGACACATTTGACGTATTCAAAACATGGTAGCGGGGCCAGTGCTAGCGTGACCGAGCCAGCAAACACGCCAAGTAAACAAAAAGACAATGGGGGATGAAAGTCATAAGCGCACTCACCAGAATCTCCAGGTGTTTTCATTCTTCCTTCTTGTAACAGCAACGTGAGGATTAAGTTTGGTGTGACTTCCAAGAATTCCACGAAGTTGCTCGTGGAAAGAAAAGTCACTCTCCTCCTGTCCTCCCAAAGTTCCTCACGAGGAAACCCCGGCAGAAACTCGGGAAAAAACTTTTTATCGCTACTGCTCCAGCGGGGCAGCGTTGAGCTCTTGTGCCGCGGCGCGCGCTATCGTCGTCCGCTCCTTCGGCGCTTTTCTCTCCGACCAAAGCAGCCACACTATAGGCTTTCCCCCGGAGCCGATCCGCGAACACTTCGCAGCTTGTTGTAGCCTTCCGTCCTGTAGATAGGTGCGATATAAAAACTGTTTAAGTTGTGGCGGACAACAGTTCCAACTCGGAGCGTAGAGCTTCTCTAAAACAAGTTGTCTCGCTAAGTGTCTCTTAGCGGTTTACTCCATGCCATCTTCCTCGCTGTTTGACATCTTTCTCCGTCAAGCTTTCCTACTTCTTTGACAGAAATTAACGTTCCGGTTGTGGATCTCTTTCTTTACAGACTTTTTCAGTCCCGACTCACTCTCACGGCTCAAGCAGGCAGCTCTCTCTCTCCTCCCCCCGCGCCTCGCTCCGTCCTCGGGGTGTCGTGTTTCTGCGCAGGCCCGCCCACACTGACGGTGAGGGGAGGGGGTAACGTGGCCAGTCACGCCCACTCACCACGAGCCGGTTCGGGCTGGCGTCACTGCAGCACGCCGCGTTGCCCCGGTGACCGCCACAGCGCTCTCGTGGTGATGGTGATATCACATCCGGATCCAGCGAGAAGCGCTCCACGGCGCTCACTTGCGTCAATCAGTGCCGGCTGTAATTTAGCCGCTTTATCAGAGGCATTATGATGAAGTGGGTAATTAATACAACCACGTCATTTATCATTAACTCTAAAAACAGCCATTTCAGTTTCTCTGTCGCCCCTGCGTGTGGTAGACTACCGTGCTGCGCAAACTTGCTTTCAAAAAGTAACTTTTTTCTGTTCATTACCTGTGCACAGACTCTGGGTTCATCAAGAATGTAACTATGCTTACCTTAAATGTATAAAAAACATCTTCAAAGTTGCATATTACTGTTGATATTTAGAAATTAGTAGATTTTACACTCAAAAACAACAACATCTTAGCCTAATTTCTACAACTTACTTAACAACCGTCTGTGCATAGCATGAGAAGAAAACAATTCCATTACATGTCTTTAGCATTATCTAAAATTTAATTCTTTGAAGTTGTCTATAGCCAGGCCCAATATGCAGAAATCATTTGTAAATTCAGTGTCAGGCAGTTAGACCATTTTTGCATACATGTTTTGAAACAGGCTCCTCCTTTACATGTTGCTGTTACGATGATGACAATATGTTCTTAATCTTACAGAGGGGTGTGTGTGGGATGTGTCATGAGAAGTGAAGTGTATCTCCCATTGGCCTCACTGTGCACCTGGTGGAGCAGCCTGTTCATGTGTGCATTTGTGTGTTGTTGCATCAGCGATTCACACTCTGGCCCATCTTGTCAACAGGATAAGGCAGCAGTAGTAAAACAAAGTCAACATCATGCCCTGACAACCACAGTGGCCCAGCAGAGAGATTTACAAACAGGATTTCTCTTCTCTTTTACGGACCATTCTGTGATGGCCTCAGGAAAGCCACGCTGGCCTTCCTGATAAGACATGGTCCCAGTGTAAAAGGTGCCTGTTGGATCTTCATATTCAGGAAAATGTTGTCATGTCCGCTCGTCTTTAGAGCAGGAAAAGCACAAGAAAAACTTTGTGGGCAACTTGGCATTTTCTCACGATGGCTGACAATGGAATACCAGCTGCGTAAAAGGCCACTAAAATCCATTGTCTTCTACTTGGCCTTTGAGTTTAGTGGATTTAAGAAAGTTTGTAGATAGCTTACTCGTAGTTTTAGCTTCCTGTTAAATGCATCATTTTGAGAACTTTATTTAAATTCTAAAGTTACAATATTTCATTTGTTTACTGCTGTGGTAAGGCAAATTTATTAGGATAGCACAATATGTACACAAAGTAATGTGTAAGTAAATGCTTTACAGAATAAGAAAGACATTAAAATCACAATACAATCAAATCAAAACAAATAGTCATCATAAAATTAACATTAAAAGAGATAATGCACACACAAACATATTCAGAGTAGAGGTCTGTCTCAACAGTCCTGTAGATTCTCATCAGTTCAGTTGTTTTACGATTATTCTGTTGAAAAAGTTATACATTATTTTGTTTATTTCATTTTAAGCTACTTTTGATTTCTGTAGTTCACTTATGAATTACAAAGGGCCCTGTGGACTGAAACATGCCAAATGATACTTTACAGCTGATGTCACCAACATTTCATGGGGGTGTGAAGCTAACTGAAAGCACTACTTTGTTAGAAGCTCTGTTACTTAAGTTAGACTTAATCTGAGCTTTTCTTTTTTCTTTTCTTTCTCCTTTGCTATTGATCTGATCTTTATTTTAACACTGGTTGAGCTGGTTTAGTTGGAACTACAACAGGTAAGCTGATCTCTTACGCAAAATATTATAGTCACAAGCTTGCTAGTACTAGTCAGCAGTTTTTCAGGTTGTCTAGTCACTCACCTTTGTGTTGAAAATCAAATTCCTAAACAGGACCATGAACGCTCATATTGATCATACAGGCTCCTGAAAATGTGTTTAAATCCATTTCAGATTTTTTCTTGAGTTTACAGACAATTATAAAACTTTTGGCAGTGCGCTACCATGGTAACAGCTGAACATTCCACATACATCTACATGTAGAACACCCCCAGCCTGATGTCATTGCAAAGTATCATTTGAAACATGAAATAGTTTGCATCATGGTAAGAAGACTACCATAAAAATCGTTAAACCGTTTCAACATTTCCTCTTTGATAGCTCAGTCTGATTTGCTCTGAAAGCATTGAAAATGAGCATATTATTATTATTTTTATTTATTTGTTTTTCTTTCCTGTCCATTCTTGTTATTATTTGTATATATGTTTTTTGAATGTATATTTTTTATTTTGATATGTTCTTAAAGTGGCTGGGAGGAGTGCTGATATTCAGATGTGTGTAATACTATAATACTTGTAATACTATTATATAATATAATGCACTCTATCTGGTAATGTTAAAAATGTTCAATAAACTAAGCTGGAAAAAAAGCACTGAAAAGGAACGGATGCACTTTTGAAACTCAAACACAAAAGAGATGACATTTACAGACAGTTCTGGCACACAGTACATTCTGAGCAGCGGTAAGCACGACGCAGCATCCTCCTTCTCTCCCTCTAAAACTCCCATAATGGCTCTTACACCTCTCAGCCCCCCTCCCTCCCCTTCCCCTCTGTGGTCCCACTCGTGTACACTGTGTGGGTCTGTTGTCTTTTTACACACCTCCATGCACCTTCACACCAACTCTCCTCACCACCTCATTCTGTGCCTCCCTCCCTCACACTAGATCCAGGTCATTTCAGCATCATTTTCAAGGCTGATGTACATAGTGTGTAGTCAGTGTTATGTAATTCATTCAATTCATTCAGTTCATTCAATCTCTGGATCATCATGCTCTACAACAACCTTGAAAATCTAATAAAATAAAATACATGATATCACATTAAAGGTCCTATATTACACAAACTTAATTCTTGTGAGCTTGTTGTTATCTCCTCAAAAACATACCTGGAGTTGTGTTTTGTTTCATTCACAAATGTATGAGTAATCCTGATTTGTCTGTCTACCTCTCCAAAGCTCAAAATGCTTTGTTCCATCTTGTAATGTCATGAAGTTGTAGTTTTCACGTTAACAGCTAACTTTTGCTCTGTAGAGATGAGCAATTCCAGGTCTGAAATTGTCCAAATGATTCTTGTGAATGTGTATGGAGTTTAAAAACATAATGGAGCACTTCCTGTATTATCACATGACATCACAGTGTTTTCAGTTTGGGAGAAGAACACAGCTTAAATATGCAGGGTTTGTGTGTTGAATATGTGTGAATGAAACAAAGCACAAGTTTAATATATGCCCTTAAATTTTTTTTTTTTTTCTCCCATCTCTATTAAAGGCCAAAAGGAGTTCTGTGAGTTCTTAGTTGTGTCCTCGATTGTGATGACCAAATTGGCATGACCAAAGGGGACCAAAGATTTCTAAATATTCTCCATACCTTTGCTGTCCTGATCTACCATTTTACAACCAAGCTCCATTAAACTGATGGACTGAAACAACACAACCCAGAGATGCCTTTGACGAACTGAACATTTTACACCAGACCCTTGTCCCATTGGTTCCACATTATTTGTAAGTCCCATCCCGCTCTTTTTATCCGCTGTGAGCTTTATGTTGCCCAGTCCGTTCCTAATCAGAGTGACAGACAGACGCCGTGCAGAGAAAGACAGGAGAGAGAAAGGGGAGAGCAGAGGTTTTGTCACTGGGCACTTGTGTAGTCAGTTCACTGTGTTGGATGGGCGCCGCTTTGAATATCTCCAGTTATCTCCATTATACACGTGAACTCTGACCCTCCCCCAACCTCATCTGACACATCCGCAGTGTGGTCGGATTATGGTTTTGAATAAACTACCTCCACAACCCTGGAATTGGTAGTGAAGTAAAATACATGCAAAGAAAATAGATGCGAGAAGCAAGTATACAACTGCATAATAAAAAGTATTTACAAAACATAAAGTTAAATGAAATCTAAATAAGTTTAGCGTCATTAAAGGTGCACTATGTAACTTTTCTGGTAGATTGTGGATTACATTGCCTGTCATTTTTCTCATGGGGACAAGCAGCTGGCAGTTGGGATTATTTGTAATCGTTAGCAACAGGACATACAATCAGAAAAGAATAGCCTTTACAACACTGAAACTGATTTAACTGTCTTTCTATCGTCATTAAACTGACTGCAATGATCACAAGGGAAGTATATCTTAATCCCCGATTCAAGACAATAAACCTTTCCGCTAGTGTGTGAATGGTTATATAATTCAAAATCGTGCCTTGCTAGACAGAAGCAATGTGAGCATGTTCCGCAGAAGCTGATGTCTTTTCTAAGCCAGGATCTGTTCTGACTATAGAACATTTTCCACTTAGCCTCCGTCTATTTTAAATAAGTCTTGGCCTGGAAGGACAGCCATGTTTTAAAAAAAAATTGGAATCAGCATTGCACATTTTTACGAGGATCATGATTACTAAACTATCAAAGCTCCCACATAAAAAGTATGTGGTTTTACTAAAGCACCGCGCATCGTCCAGCCCGGTGCTCCCTGATTTCTTCTGGTCTGTGTCTCTAAAACACAGATGGCCCGAGTCAGAGTAATTACCATGGACAATGGGTGTGGTAGCCCACTAACCAGTGCCACCACAGGCAATGCACACTCACATCCACTGTACACACACACATATACACACACACATATACACACACACATCCACAAGAACACACAAAAACACTCAAGCACAAAGACGCACACACAAGCACGCACACAAGTACAAACACATGCACATACACACGATTTATCCAAGCTAGCACACAGGAGAAGGCCTGTGATTCCTGGAAGGGGCGTCAAACAATCAGCAGAGGTGTAATATGTACACAGTAA